ATAATAAATAATAAATAATAAATAATAAATAATAAATAATAAATAATAAATAAAATATATACTTGCACTGTAAATCATTTAAATGTGAATAATAAATAATAATAAATGTGAATAATAATAATAAATAATAAATAAAAAATAATATCTAGTATAGAATATACCTATATAAGGTTCCTTCGACTAGTGCTGCTCAAAAATGCCGTTTACCTCAGGCTGCCCGTTGAGGCGTTTACACCCTTCGTATGACTCTATTTAAACGATTTACTCACCGGTGTGAAATGAGGGCAATCAACTGAGTTGGGCAAACAACTCTCGCTGGGAGTAGCAGCTCTTGGCTAAATGCTGTGCAATTATTGACTTCCGCTTTCGAACGCTGCGGGAATACTGGGTGGCAGCGTCAACTGCCTCATGCGCAGCTTCCTGCCCTTCCTTTTTGGCACTTGAAATGTAATTTAATTTGTTTATATGCTCGCCCCGGCCCCAAATGGTCGCGCTTTGTGACAGCCGCCGTATTTGTGTGTAAATTAATTGTGCTCCTGGCGCAGTGCAGGTGCCACGAGCCGTCGCGCCTCAATCTTGAACGGAAGCGCCGAAACACTCCAGTATCCTCCAGTCTGCTGATATTCTGTCCTTTAGGGCATGTCAAAAAAGATGTCCAAAAATAACAGAAGCGACAATTCCTTTAATTAATGTGTTTGTTTAGCTTTTGTGCTCACAAAATTTGTTACCTGTGATTACCTGCGACGGATGCGAGACAACATTTTAATTGAATTAAATTTCCATTAGAAACAGCAACAATTACACTACAGCCAAAATGGCAATTAAATTGGAAATCAACACCAATTTAGGAGCAAGTTTCTGGGGTGGGGGGAGGTGGGAGTTTCCTGAATGCTGTGTAGAATATACATATATATTATTTATGCCCAGAGTATGAGCTCTAATTAAGCTCCGGCCTTTGGATTTTATTCGCAGGCGTAAGAATGAGGCGTCGAGTTCAGCGGGCGGAAATGGAGCAGGATATGGAACAAGAGCTGGAACAGAAACTGGAACTGGAATTGTGTACCAAGTCAACCGCAGCGCTCTTCAATTAGATTGCTGCCAACACCATGGCCATGGCCATGGCCGTGGGCAGTGCGGAGGCTCGTCAGGTGGCGGCGCCGGAAGCGAATGCCGCTGGGCCTGGCATTGTGGAGCCAGTGCTCGCGCTGCTGCGCAGCGATGTGGTCAATCAGACGCGTGCGCCGGTCTTCTACAACAGCTACAACATCTCCGAGGATGTCTTCTACTACTTCAATGGCTTCAATCCGGCGCCAACCAGCACGGAGTCAGCGTTGAGCGTGAACAGCACGAGCGGAGCGACAGCCGAGCCCACACTGGAGCCGGATCTGGCTGACTTCCTGGAGGCGCTGCCCAATGATCGCGTCGGGCTGCTGGCCTTCCTCTTCCTCTTCTCGTTCGCGACGGTCTTCGGCAACTCCCTGGTCATCCTGGCTGTCATCAGAGAGAGGTACTTGCACACGGCCACCAACTACTTCATCACGAGCCTGGCGGTGGCCGACTGCCTGGTGGGTCTGGTGGTGATGCCATTCTCGGCGCTGTACGAGGTGCTGGAGAACACGTGGTTCTTTGGCACCGACTGGTGCGACATCTGGCGCTCCCTGGACGTGCTCTTCAGCACGGCGTCCATACTGAACCTGTGCGTCATCTCCTTGGATCGCTACTGGGCCATTACGGACCCCTTCAGCTACCCCATGCGGATGACGGTGAAGCGTGCCGCTGGCCTGATTGCCGCCGTCTGGATTTGCTCGAGCGCCATCAGCTTTCCAGCCATTGTCTGGTGGCGGGCCGCCAGGGATGGCGAGATGCCCGCCTACAAGTGCACCTTCACCGAGCACCTGGGCTATCTGGTGTTCTCCTCCACCATATCCTTCTACCTGCCACTGCTGGTGATGGTGTTCACCTACTGTCGCATCTACCGCGCGGCAGTCATCCAGACGCGCTCCCTTAAGATCGGCACCAAGCAGGTGCTGATGGCCTCCGGCGAACTGCAGCTGACGCTGCGCATTCATCGTGGCGGCACCACCCGAGATCCGGCGCCCAATACACATCAGGTCTCGAGCGGTGGCGGTGGTGGCGGCGGCGGCGGCTCCCTCAGCCACTCGCACTCGCACTCGCACCATCACCACAATCACAGCGGCGGCACAACGACATCCACGCCCGAGGAGCCGGACGACGAGCCGCTATCAGCGCTGCACAACAACGGGCTAGCCAGACATCGACACATGGGCAAGAACTTTTCGCTCTCGCGCAAGCTGGCCAAGTTTGCCAAGGAGAAGAAGGCGGCCAAGACGCTGGGCATTGTGATGGGCGTGTTCATTGTGTGCTGGCTTCCATTCTTTGTGGTGAATCTGTTGTCCGGCTTCTGCATCGAGTGCATTGAGCACGAGGAGATTGTTTCGGCGATTGTGACATGGCTGGGCTGGATCAACTCCTGCATGAATCCTGTGATCTACGCCTGCTGGAGCAGAGACTTTCGCAGGTACGCAATACCCAGCTCCCTTCAGCCCCCCCCTCAGCCACGCAGACACTAAGCAATCCCAATCTTTTTTGGCTTCCTTGCAGAGCTTTTGTGCGACTCCTGTGCATGTGCTGCCCCCGCAAGATACGCCGCAAGTATCAGCCCACAATGCGCTCCAAGTCACAGGTAAGTTGTTGTCCAGTTCCTGGGACTCTTTTGTGCCCAGCAGCAGGGCAGGGCCATCTGGCGCCACCTCGATTTCATTGGAGCTCTTATTGACAGAGATATTTTCAATTTCATCGTCACATTTCGTGTTCTACTGGGGCTGTTTATGAATTATGCACCTGATGACAGCGTTTCTCAATTTTTCTTCCCACTTGCGTATGCTCCAAAAACGAAACTCAACGAACGACAAAATTAATTTGCAAATTTAATGAATATGATAGGAAGATAAAAAAATAAGAAATGAAACGCAGCAGGTTCTAACCTTGCTCCGTACCTTCCTTCCGCGTTCAGTTCCCTCCCCCGTTCCACAGCATATCTGTTTTCCGCCTGGCGCTTGCCATTAGCATTCACACACATCTGCCAGATAGGACAGCTCACTCAGAGTTTTTGGAGCAGCCCCACATCCCCATAATTCAGCATAAATAAACAGCTCGGCGCATCTGTCAACGTCATCGGCAACTGCGCCCGCTTCCTCCCACGTCCCACGCCCCACGCCACACGCTCCACGCACCACGCTCTTGAGCTTGAGCACGTTGGCATTTTAATGAATAATTTTTTAATGTCTATCTGAGTTGTGCTCAAATTGGGTCAACATCAGCCAAATCCCGACTGCAGTCGCTGGCTCTGGTTCCCTTTATTGAATGATGGCAATCACCACGATGGAATTTTCAAGCGTTTCCAAGTATTTTCCTGTAGCAGGTGATTGGCATAAAGTTGATTTAACTAATGCAAATCTTAAATTACAAATAACTGTAGATTAGCAGGAGTCGCTGAGGAGCTGCATATCCGTTTGCCACATTTACAGCATTTAAGCACTTGATTTTTCACTCTCAAATCGATCGAGTGAAATCTATTTATTTATTTTTATTTATTCATTACTCAACATTATTATTTTTTTTTTTTCGATTTTTATTACTTTGTATTTATTTAATGGCAAATATATTTGCACAATTTTGATTTTTTTTTCACATACAAATTTGAGGAACATTCAGTGTGTGCAATCATTTGTAGCATTCATTGCCTTGTTCACATTTGGGAATCGAGGCGTTCTGGCAGCAGCCCCAAAATCAGGGCGGGCTGGGGGCTGGTGGCACTCATCAATGCAGCTGCTGATTCAGATTCTGCTGGTGTTCTTACAGAGATTCGCGACTCGGCGCTGCTACTCCACCTGCTCGCTGCACGGCATTCAGCACGTGCGCCACAATTCCTGCGAGCAGACTTATATTTAGTTTAGCATAGATTTGGCAGCTCGCTCGCCTCGCTTGAGGAGCTGTGCCATAACTAATTCAGCTTGCAAGTCGATGATGGCAAGGTAAGCGACTTGTCCAAATTCTATTTGTTGTTTTCGTGTTCGTCTTCGTGTTCGTGTTCGTGTTCGTCTCCTGGCGCCTGCACAAAATGAACTGTGCGAGGCGCTGGCTTCCAGCTAAACGCACTCATACCAACAGCAACTGTGGTGAGAGAATACACAATGCACCCTGTTGCCCTGCGTCGCACCCGCATCCCCCTCCCCCCTCTTTCTCTCTCCACTCTCTCACTATGTGCCGCTCTCTTTCGCCATCTCTGTCTATTTGTCTCTCTTTAGTGCTCTCTTTGTCACTTGTAAATGTTTCACTCGCTGTTGCGCCTGTTGTGTTCGTTCGCTCGCCTGTGACATTGTTCTGTATGTTTCTATTTTCTTTCTGTTTTTTTTTGCGTTGTCATGTGAAGAGGGAGGACAAGAGAAATGGAAACACACACACAAAATGAACTGTGATTCCACGTGTTGAATGTACTGCACCTGAGCCCACGATCTCACGCACACACACACACACCCGAACACACACATGCCGTGTAGCCGCACCTTACACGCCCCCAACCCATCCACACTTTATGCGGAAGACATCCGAGCTGTGTCCAGTTCTTACCTCCGGCTTAAAGTCTCTGTTTGTACAATTCCCGTTGCTGTTGTTGTTGTTGTTGTTGTTGTTAAATTAACTGCGCTACAAAGTTGAGCTGTTGCCAGCTCTTGAAGCTAAATTTAATACAGCCCACAGCCGAAACATCTAATCAACGCGTCAGACACCTGACGGGGCTGGGCAGGCTGAGCAATGCATTATTAAGTATACGCAGTGTTCGCAGCTGCTTTTTGCTGTATTGTAAGGAGGGTTCAAGGGATATTAAACTGAAATCTTTCCGACTGTGTTGATGTCCTTGTTGCCTTTGCTGTGGCTCTTATTGTTGTTGTTAATATTGCTTTTACCAGCCATTCACCACAAATCTACATAAAAAGTAATACGTATACACACGCACACACACACACACAGCTCTACCCGCAGTTTATATTGTTGTTTTCCGATTTAAACTTAAGTTACAATCTCTCTCTCTCTCTCTCTCCCATTTTGTCCGTCTCTCCTCCTCTCGCACTCACTGTAAGTATAAGTATATACATGTTGTTTTTGTGTGTTTACTTTGAAATTTTTTACTTGCCATTGTTGTTGTTATTGTTGGCACTTTTACTTGTTGGCCTTTCGACTTGGCTCTTGTGCCACACGCCGCACACCAACCACCCACCACACCCCCGCCCAACCACACACACACACATTGTCTGGCCATATTTGGAAATCAACTCGCACAGCACAACATCCGACATTTCGGAAATGCTATCAAGCTAACCATAAATACTTTTAGCACTTTAAATTTCCAAACCAATTTTCAACAATCATCAGGAACACACACACACATCTTTACACCTATACACATATGCACAAAATGTTTTATATAATGTAATGATGAAAATGTTATTTACAGCTCACACAAAAGCAACTATACGAATGCCCGTTGGGAGCAAAGTCTCCGTGTCTCATTGTTTCCATTGGGGTCGTGGGCCATCGGGTGGCTAACATGATATCAATTACGTCGAAAACCAATTCCCTTTACTTTTGGCCAATTGTATTTGTATTGTTGAAAAGGGTCATGAGAGTGCCTGCCAGCTGAGTTTTTGGGGCCGAGGCACTTAAGAAGTAGCGAAAGGAAGTAAAAGCATATCGAATTCGCCATGTTTTGGATATCTTCATAAAAAACACAATCCCGCACAATCCCGTTTATTTGAGTTAGGAACATGCTCTTTAATCTGCTGATCTGCAGCATTAAGGGTAGCTCTCCAAACAATCGATAGCTGTAAATAAAACTTAAATGGCTTACAAATTCCTTTTGGCCCAAGAAATATTAGCCCAAAGATTACATTTCCAGTCGATAGGCGCAGGTGTGTTTGCTTTAAAGCATATTCAACTTTCAGATAAGACTTGGCTGCAATAAAATGTAGCCGAAATTTAAGGGCATGGGCAATAATAAAATACTTTTATTGCTGCCAGCCATAAGTGTGTTTCTGCATATGAATTATTTGATGGCAAAGGCAGAGAGTCTAGCCCAAAAGAGAAGCCTTTGTTCGCTTGCAACAAGTGAAGTCGCCTGAAGCGGATGCGTTTGCTGCAGTTAATTAAATGTTACAAACTTTTCCTGCCAAAAATTATATTGCATTTATGTCAATATGCCAAGCTTACAATGCGAAATTAAATTAGAAAAATTATCTCTCTAATGTAACATGCAGAAATCCAATATGAATTATTGCATAGGTTTACACACAGGCTGCAATAGCAATTGAAGGCGAACTCAAAAAATAATAACAAAATACGGGTTTCAATATGAATTTATTGCAATGAAGCGTTTGTTGCGATGCTGGACATTCGAACTAAACCTTTCACAACTTCCGGTAATGGCTGAAATTAGCGGTAAATGAGTTAACTTCCGTTGACCATTTGCCAAACAGACGATAAATGAAGATGGGTTCCATTAAGCTGGGAGGGTGCTTTATATATATGTTTAAGAGTGTGTGTGTGTGCTAGCTGATTTTGTTCAGTTAGACAGATTCGCAAGGCTTGATTCGTCGTCCGTTGTGTTGTAGCTTGAACACCGTTATTTCCTGCTTAAGCCCTCTGTTGTCTCTCGTTCGTTGTTCTTGCACTTAATGTAACATCAAGCCCATTGCGGCTAACCACAAGCTGTGTGTGTATCTCTGTGTGCGTATCTCTGTGTGTGTGTGTGTGTGTGTGTGTGTGTGTGTGCCTCCTGAAAATTAACTTCATTGACAGTTTCTACTGTTTGACTGCTGTTTTGTCTGTTGTTAGACTTGTTCTCTGACTTGTTGCCACACACCTACGCAAAAGCGCACAAACACGCACACGCACACATACACAGGCACACAAAACACGTACACATCTACGCCTCTGATTGGGATTCCAGCTTAAGGGCATGCTGTGCGCTTGTTACACTCTGAGAAAATATTGAGTGCATTTGACGATATTGCATAATAAGCCTTGATGGAAGAACCCATTGGCTGCTACAAGATGGCCAAATTGGCCTGCATATAAGTATATATTTATCAATTATTTATAATCTACACGTCTTCCACTCTATATACATTTTAAATAATATATATTAGTGCAAAGAGGCTCATTTGTTACGGTAAATTAATTACAGTGTGTTGACCACTTTGGCCAGCACAACGCATCAGGTAGCTCCCAAAATGGCCAATGAATTTGCATAGCATTGTGTATTGTAGGCTTACCATGGAATGGCCACATGATTGTGCGTAGGCACACAAACAAAACGCTTACATGTCTAACATACATCACACACACACACACGTACACAAAAAATCACACACGTACACGCACATACACACAACATTGCTTTGAACTTGGAAACGTCGTCCAATTGCACAAATAATATCTATGTATTTGTAATTCTAAATGTTTGCAGAAGAACTCTTTGGCCAGCCTGAGACGGTGCCCAACAACGGAGCTGCTACGCTTTGGCGCCTTCGAGTAGAGGCGGAACCCCGTCGACCTAAGCTCGTCCTTGTGGCAGGCAATTAACATGTACTCACCGTTAAACGCATTCCCCTAAGCGCTGCTAATTGCATTAATTATTGACAGGCGCTTTGTGCCATTTACATATGCCAGCCGGCCCAATACAGTAGACTAAGCCAAATAATTATGAAAACAATCAATCAAATAAATTCGTGACCGCTTCACGGAATGACGGTTAAATTAAAGCGATTTCGTGCTTGCTGACACTTTTTGTCGCCAGTTAGTGGAAAACCATTTTGTTTTTGTTTTGTTTTTTTGGCATTTTGTTCGTATTTTTCGGTGGTTTTGTTTTCGGTTTTGTTTCGGTGCCCTTACAAGGCAGGACATCAAAATGTAATTTACCACAAATGTTGCAAAAACATCAATTATCCCTAATGGACTGTGAACGTGAAATTAACGTTTATAATTATGTGACAGAGTCGCCAAAAAGCGGCCGCAACCGCGTCGCCTGGCGGTGGGTAACAAACCCAAAAGCTCTTGGCCTACTCCCGGCCGTATACCCTGCACTACTTACGTGACCAGATTGAACAAGATCTTTGCAGAGTATTGCTATTTGAGTATAAAATATATAATTTCTTCTATTTTTAATTATTATTTCATTTGCAAGTACGATATTTACAGGATAGCTTCAGGGTCAATATACCCTCTGTATGTGTGTGTGGTCCGAAACTTTGACACTTTCTGGTATTTTCTGCCCGAATAACTGGCAGCTTGATCCTGGGCCGCATCCTGTCTGCTGCCGAACAGCGTATAAAGTAATAAATTACAAGAAAAGGGCGTGGCTGTGACTAATTTCAGCGAGAAAAAGAAAATCATTTTTAGGGCCTCCAGAAAGTTGAACGACCTTTAACCCAGGCCACACCCCATAGCTGAGAGCTAGACACGCCCTTCAGATAGCGCGATAATAATTCCGCTCTTGGCAATAAACTGAAAATGAAGTAAAGCGCGAAAATTCGCGTGCTTATTGTATAATATGTAATTGCTTCATAGCAATATGATTTCGATGCTTTAATCAAAAATGTTGTTAATATTTGAGCAGACGGGCAAAAAGTTCAGTTGAAGCCGTAGCGAAGTTCCAGGCATACATTGCGTATGCGTAATCAAAGTTGTTCACAATGCGCCGCAGCAGAGAAAGGGCCATAATTGCTCGTAATTGCATTGAAAATCAATTCAATTTTGAAATAATAGCCCATAGCAAATCGTTTCCAAGGAATAAACCCACACTAAAACACAAAAGCCACTCAATTTGCTGCGGCTCACACTCACACCACAACGCGCAGGCCCACCCAACCACACGGCTTATTTGTCTGAGATTGTGCCAGCTCATCGATGATGACGCTGGTCACTCAACACGATAATGACCAATTGCAACTTGCAGTTTCTTTAGAAAGGCATAAATGCGAATTGAAAATAAAATATAAATAAATAATATATATATATATGTATATGTATATGCTCAGTTTTCACTTAGAGTTGGCTTTAATCAAGTCTGTGTGTACTGAAGAGGCCAACACAATTGAAGCTGCTAATCAGAGTGTGGGCAAAGCCCAGGGCGTAATCAAGGCTGTTTAGTACAAAGCGGATATTACAATGCACCACAATTGCTGGTTATTGCACCACAAGTCATCTCGAAGCGGAATCAAGCTGCTGCAGCTCATAAGGAACTTACACACAACAGAAACACTGACCACATGGCCTCTTTACCAAGTTATACTGTCCATTCAAAACACTAATGATCATTAAATGAAAATGGACTTTGTTTGTAAAAAAAAGTGCAGCAGAAGTTCTTCAATTTTACCCATTATTATGCGTACAATTGATTTTGTGTGGAATTTCACATTCGGCTCCATTTGAGGCAGCTGAGGCAGCAACACGTTGCGTATGCGTAATCAAAGTAGTTTAAAACAAAACGGATATTAGAAAGTGCCGCAATGGCTCTTGTAATTGCATTGCAAGGACCATTCTATCAAGGCAAACTAGAGGAGATTGTGTGGAGCGCTTAGAGAATAGACAAAGGCCACACAGTTAGGACGTCGGCACGGTGGGAATCACACACGCACACACGCACACACGCACACACACACAACACGGACACGTGCACCACATGTAACCACAGGAGCCGTTTGCTTATGCAATTGAAATTGGGCTCTGGCCGTGGCTCCACACAGGGGCTAAAATGTTGATGTTGCAGTTAATATTCGGAAATTGTGTATCTGCATAGAGCCAGCAGGCAACTGAATGCCACAGAGCCCCACGAACAGTCACAGCTACAACTGCTACTCCTGCTGCTCCTTCTGCTGCTGTGGCTGTTGCCAAAAAAAAATAAACGCTTTTCTTTTATTGTGTTGCATTGCTTTTCCTTTTGTTTTATTTTGCTGTTGCGTTTGCTGTTATCTTTGTTATTGTTGTTATTGCTATTGCTGTTGCTGTTGTTGTTATTCTTGTTGTTTTTCAATCATGCATTTCGCTTTGACTTTTACTGCACCCCCCCCCCCCCCCCCCCCCAAAAAAAAAGCACCGAAGTGCACATAAAAACCGAAAACTGAAAGCTGAAAACTGAAAAACTGAAAGCAAACCCGCAACATTTTCGAGCTGCTGTCATTGTTGTTGTTGAACATCTTTGTTGCCGCTGTTACAATGCTTAAAGGCAAATTGTTTTGCCATACCTACATGAACAGACACGCACACACACATGCACACATACAGACACGCGCGCACACACACAAAGAATACACAAAACACTGCCTGTAAATTGTATGCAACACGCTCAAATTGCAATTTGACTACACGAGACTCATGCCACATTTTTTCCACCTTCTACCCTTCTCTTTTTCCGCTCTGGCCGCACAGTGTCACGTCGCTGCCGCCATGGTGGCTGCCTCAACATCCTTTGGCTACCACTCCGTCAACCAGCTGGACCGCAACCTCATGTGACGTCAGCCCAGCAGCTGCAGCACTTGCAGCGGCAGCAGCAACTGTGGCGCCGGTGTCGGCTCCGGCTCCGGCTCGGGCGCCCGCAACTCTCATCAATATCATTCGTCAGCGGCGGCCACGCCCTCATCTTCGCAGCGCTCGTGCACGCGCTGCCAGAGCTTCCACCGGCACCACCATCGCTCCAGGCGCCGCAGCTCAGGCATGCAGCTGCGCGGCGACTACAACTCGACGTCGGCGGTGAACAGCGCCGCCAAAACGCTGGTCACCATCACAGCGCCGCCGGCGGCGGCTGCCTCGGCCAGCTCGCTACATCTGGGCAGGCCCACATCGATGTCCACGCTGACGCTGGCCTCGGGGCCGACGTCGCTGCTGCTGGACGCCACGCTGGGTGATGACGGCATAAAGGCTGGATCCGGTAGCGCTGCCAATACGCCAGTTGCACCACCAGCAGCAGCTGCGAAACACACCAGCTTTGCTCTGACGCCCACCATAATGGGCGCACCGCAGTCGCAGTCGGGTTCGGGCTCGGGCCACCATGTCTCGTTTATGCCCTTGCCATTGCCGATGATGGGCATCAAGCGTTTGCGCGACTCCAACTCCAACTCGTCGCTCAGCTCACCAGCTGTGGCTGTGGCCAAGTCTAAGGCGACCGGCTCGGCACCGTCTCTGGTAGAGGCAGCCGAGTCGCCAAGCGAGAGGAAACACACAGTGCTGGAGATGCGGCAGAGCGTGCAGAGCCAGATCACCACGCTGGAGGATGTGGACGATGAGCTGGAGAGCGAGGACAATACCGACAGCGACAGCGTGGGCGTGGCTCTGGTGCAGACGACGCCGCAGCTGGAGTACCAGGCGGGCATTGGCTCGAGCTCCTCGAGCACCTCGATAAAGTAACCATATTAGTGATAAGATCTGCATAGTTATACGTGTCTATTGAGCTAATAACTTGACGATCTCGATGTGCCCCACCAGGGGCGAATAAGTGTTTTAGTTTATTGCATAAGTAGTTAAACATAGCCGTCATATCTTAGCTCTTCCATTGATAGAATATATGTATATCCTAAGCTCCTTACTTCCTGCATCTTGTAAATGCTTCTCAGCTCATCCTCTACCTTGACTCTACCTGAACGCCATCGCCCCAGCCTGTCCTCGTACCTGACACATTCGCTCTCTTGCCCTCTCTTTCCAGTTCAAGTACTACTCAAGCCTTATAATATATCACTCCCATTTCATACTCTACAATATTACGGGTGCAAAAGAATTTAAACCTACCAAATAACCAATCGAATAGCTAAAGGCCAGGTTGATGCACAATTTTGTACGTAACTTGAGTTACCTGTCGCAATCGGGTTTCCTCAATCAGGCCAGTTAAACATGTCTAAATGTGATGTCTACTACTACTACTATATTGTCTACTACTATAAGGCGCCAACTGCAGAAGAAACGCAGGAGATTACATAAACACAGATTACATGGATATATAAAATACAAAGTTCAACTTAAGCGGAAATAGGATAGAATCATCACCGTGCGGTCAAAGTTCATAAAATGGGTATTTGCTTATCATACGTAGCCGAAGTTATTCGCATCTTCATCCAAGCTCCAAGCGGCAATAGCTTAATAATTGATGTAAATGTTAGAGGCAAGAATTGAAATTAAATTAAATATATTTATAACAAATAATTAGTGGAATAAGTAAGCTGCTCGCCGGCATATAAACTTGGTTAAGTTAACTGTACTTACAGTCTAAGCTAGCTATAGTGGTTTCAGTTATATTTGACTCTTCGGTTGGCCGTTATCAAACAGCGTAACATTTTCTAAACTGGTTGCAGAACTTGCGAACTAGGTAAACACTGAATACAACACCAATAGTTGAATAATACGCGGATCATGGACAGATTAAACATGCTTAATATATAGCAGACATAGGCATACATACTACATACACACACACATATAGACGTATGAATTGGGTACCCATTCTCTATGCTCTAAAAATAATACAAATATTTAGAATGGCAACTGCATTCCAATGCACTAAGCGGATTTACATAAGATAAAAAAATAATAAAAAAATGCTCATTGTTTTGAAAACAAAACCAAAAAAAAAAAAGAAACAAAAACAACTAAATATTAATCAATATAAAAAGGCAATTATCAATATTCAATATGTATAGCTCACAGAGTAATTTATCTACTATGTATACATGCATACATATATATGAAAATGTGACTATATGTGTATGTGTGTGCGTTCCTTAACTAAAGCTAGGTGTAAATTTAAGCCTAAGTAGGTATCTAACTGTGTATATGTATATGTATGTGTGTACAATTAATTTATATAGCCAATAAGCGCTGCCTCGAAAAGCTACAGAGACAGAGATAGACAGCATGAGAGAGAGAGAGAGAGGGAGAGATAGAGTGAGAGTGGGAAGACATCTGATGAATGCGCAGCAATAAGAATTTATTGAAAATTCCATAAGTGAATAATTACCCAAAGACCCAAAGCATTAACTAGCTACGTCCACGATAGATTGGCACAAATATAATAAATACAATTGACAGATCCAACCATAAGATGTAAGCAGCTATAGCATATTTGTATTCCATATGTATTTACGTCTACGTATCTATGTATCTGAACTTGTGTGTATTCAAATTAAAACAAACAAACAAACAAACAAAAATACTGAAACAGTAATCGAAAACTGAGTACAAATTATTTAAATTTCAGCTAAAGCGATTCTTTTGTGTGCTGCAACGCGAAATGCAACACTCGATGGACACGCCGTGAAATGATGAAGAAGAAGATAAAGAGGAAGAAGAAGCAGTAGAGTAAACACTCACACAGTGGCACAGAGTGCAACGAGAGGCGAAGGCCAAACTACAGACGTAAACTTTACAGTTTACAGTTAACATTGTGGTGTTCTGTTTGTCTGGTTGGGCGGTGGGCTGCCTGCTGGTTGGTGGGTGTTGGGGTGAGCAATAGAGTTGCAATTGCAAGTGGTACGCCAGCCACTCGTGGATTGCATTGTGCAGCTGTCGCTCAAGCAGAGACTCAGTCCGTCAGGCAGTCAGCCTGGCAGTCAGGCAGCTGAGATGTGGGCTTGGGGTCCAAGATGAATGCAGTCAGCAAAGCGCGAAATGCAAACAACGCATCTAAAACAATGGGCAACAGCCAAGAGGCAGGAGGCGGGAGGCGGAAGGCAAGCAAGCGCTAACCAAAAACAGCTGCCGGAATTCCCTATTATGCTGAGCTACATAAAATGTAAGCTGAGCTGTAGTGCGTGCCCCAACGAAAATGGGGTCGCATCGCCAACATTGTGGGGACAAATCGCGCAACGTGCATCAACTGACTAATGAGTATATAAGCCGGGCAACGAGTAGCAGCAACCCAAAAACTATTCAGCGCCACGCACTAATCATCCATCCACAAAAGCCGGCCAAAGTTGAAACAGATTCGACCAAAACAACACTGGACAGCCAGCCAGACGGCCGAGTGAATTAAAAGGCGCTCCTTTCCTTGAAACGGGGCCAACGGAGGGGTGAGCATTCAGTTCTTCAAATTTGCTGCACAGTGTAATAGTTGCGAGCAGTGCCTGGGCATTGTCCTTGCTGTAATCAGCAAAATAACGACTGTCAAAATGGCGGATAAGCGTTGAACTAATAAAAAAGAAACGTTGCATACACGCGGGGGACAGGGGGGGGCCATAAAATCACCAACTGCAGAGATCTTCAGCGAGGGACAGAGAGAGAGAGACAGAGGGAGAGACAGATAGCGTTAGCTTAGGAGTGAACAACTTATCACCCGAGCGGAATTTGAAGCAGCTACGAACCCTCGACAAACATTTTATTAGCTTGCTGCTTGGTAATTTTGTTTCCCTTTAGTGCTAGTTCTTTACACTTTCTCTCGGATTCTCTATGCTCCCATTTTGGCTGTTGCCTTCGTTCTTTTGTTGCTCCTTTTGTTGGGTTGGTTAATGAACCGAGACGCGTGCTTGTCCCTGGATTTCAGCTATGCCATTGGATGGGTTCGCTGCGCTTTTTCAGCTGCTCAGCGAATTTGTTTGCCAATATATAAGGCCAGAGCAATCATTGTTCTGATGACTTTGTTGCTGTTGGCTTGGCCAAATGCGCGGCCGTAATTCTCCAGTCCCTCGGGCCATGTGCGAATATTGGTTAGAGGGGGCTTGTATTGGCAAGGGGCTTTGGCATGTGCTCAGCGCAAAAACTAATAATAGACGTGTTTAATGTGTTTAATTGCGAATTCGAATCGTCTGCGAGAGAGCGTCCATATTGACCTTAGCTTTTGCTTTAAACTAATCTGCTTATAGCACCATAGACCCTAGTCTCTGATATCGGAACTCATATAGCTCTGAGGCCTTATTTAATTACGTTGCTACCATTTATCTTCTCCGTCTCGGCCGTAGGTGGCAATGGATGAATGTGTTTTTGACAGTTTGTTTAGCTCGTGCTGCAGACATTTCTCAAACAAGTCTCAAATAATTGAAATAGGTCTTGCTCCCATCATGTTTATTATTATTATAAATGTTTTCTAGCCGCCAGCGCAGAGCAATCAAGATAAATTTTATTCACAAACTTGGCCTATTCGAGTGACTGTTATTGTTTTCAATTAAGCTGCAAAGGACTCACAATTATTTAAGGAGTCTTGGCAGGTAAGTTAAGCCAAATACAAATATAGTTACAAAAGAAGAAATATATGTATATACAAAATAAAATTATTAAAATAAATATATATTTTTCTAGATTTATTATTTATATAAATAATTAGAAATTCTTTCCCAAACAAAACTCAAATGTATTTTAGTTTTGCCTTGATTGAAAATCGATTTCTTTTTAGGATTCGAACAGACTGAACTAACATGAAAATGCTGTTAGAGTCGAGGATGATTGAAGCTGAATCGAATTGAATATGCATGTAGCCAGAGTGGGCGGGAGTGCAGCGCAGATTCCCTTTAGGGCCATTTAAGAGACGTTAATTAAATCAATATAGCGCTCGTTTTAAACAATTTCGTGCTGAGGAATCGCATAAAAATGCTAAATAAATTGATGAACTGCGTCCAATGCGCAAACACAAAAGACGGCCAAGGAGTTATTGTTGGCGGTTGTTTGTTGTGCTCTGTTGTGTTGCTGTGTTGCTCTGTTGTTGCTCTGTTGTTGTGCTGTGTCCTCGTCGTAAAGGGAAAGCATGCTGTAAAATTCTATCGACCCGTTCATTGAGGCCATTGAAAGGGAGTGAGCACAAGAGATGATGATGCTGATGCTGTTGGTGAACCCACAAAGCGGCACTTGCACTTGGCCCTCGCTCGCCCTGATGGCGGGGGCCTAAATTGTATAAATATAAACGACATTAAAGCGCGTCTGGAAATAAAACAAACAGCAAGTCGAACTCAGTGAACTGTGCCCGGCCGCACATCACGTTGCAGCTCCTCCCTGGCGCTAGTCTGGCCGGCATTAAGTTGGCATTGCCGCGATGCCAGAATGCCAGAATGCTAGGATGTTAGGATGCCAGGATGCCGTTGACTGCTGCCAGCTGCCAGCTGCCTGCTGCCTGCTGCCTACCCCAGCTCGATGGGCCAATTGAGGCGCAGCCATTTTGTGTGCTATACGCCGATTTTCCATATCTATACACAATATATACAACAATGCGTTGCTATTTTCGTTGGATGCCTTCACCGTTTGTATTGTGCCTGGGAACCTTGGCTTATATTTAACAATTTATAAATATAAACGCCCACCGCAACGTTATTAGAAGCCATTCGAATGATTACCAAATCGAATAGCTCGACGTGCAAATACCAGGGCGGGTCTCTTTAAGAGCTAATGAAGATAAAATACACTTACGAATTGGGGCTCTTATAAATATCAGTTTAAAAGGCATAACAATTTCCATGTGAATATCCAATACCTTGTTTAGCCGTGTTTTAATAAAATGCTAATAGGTTACGTAATTATTGAGAAAATGTGGGTACTAAAGGTTAGAGTATCTCTTGAAGAGAGTATTAGGCTCAACAGCCCCTGTATTAAAATGTCGAAAATTGTTGAGTTGTTATTGTTAAGGGGGTTGGCCATTTTTTTTTCTTTTCATTTTTTTATTTTTATTCTATTTTATTTTTATTTTTTTGGGACTGCTGCGATGGCAACACATTGTTCTAAATATCACGCACGCAATTTTCAATTGAAGCGTGAACTTTACTTTGCGTCAGTGAGCAATTCTCAGAGCTTCAAGCTGCTGTTGATAGAGATATAAGCTTATAAAGTCTGGCCTGGCCAGCGGGATGACAGCAGGTATCGGGACATCAGGATATCGGGGTATTGAAGGGCAGGGGACTGCATCTGTTGAGGCGTCGACGCAGCGAGCCAAATAAATGACATCAGTGGATTATCGCCAGCATCAGGACAAACACAAACATGCGCCATTTCCTTCTGCCTTCTGCAATACATGTATAAAATTGAAAATAAAAAGAAAACAACAACAGAGCGTAATATACAGATAAACGCACATACATGGGCAGAGGGTATGAGTGTGTGTGTGTGTGCGTGTGTTCGTGTGAGAGGCAGCGAAACAAAAGCATGAAATATCACAGGGAGC